AAAAAAGACATTTGCTGGGATGGATATTTACCTGAGAAATTCATTATATGAAAGCCAAAGCTACCAATGACCTTCTGGAGTCTGGTTTTTAAAGCATTTTTAAATTTTTCTGTATGGAATAAATACCTTTGTAAAGCATTCATTTTCAGATGTATGAGAGCCCATAAATGTCTGTATTTTGATGAAACTCATATGAAGGTATTGTCCAACGATAGTGGGTGGATAATACTGCATTAATAAGAAGACAACTGGCAGGACAAGTCCCTCTTCCAAAAAACTCATAAAAATAAGTTATAAAAATCTCAACTTATTACAATAAGACCATTAGAGCTGGTCAGACATTTTGTAAGAGAGTTTTTACCTGCCAAGAAATGCCAACATGGTGAGAGCAGAAAGAGTGATGCAGAAATGGGCTAGTCCCAACAAATCTATCTGAGGAGCTGTGCGTCTTCAACACGGCAAGGGGAACTCCAGGGACTTGCTTGGATGTTCTGACTGCAAGCACAGAAGATCAACCCATCCCAGCCACGCTCGCCACCATCTCGTGCCACCTTTGCCACCCAGCGGCTGAATTCTCCAGGCTTGCAGACCACAGGGCAGCTGCACACGCAACAACTTCTCCACCTGTTTCTGAAGGCATCCAAGATCCCTACTGTTGGACGGGTGGCTGGAAGTCCTGGAACAGGCTCCTGGGGTCTCCAGCTCTGAGGAAGTCCACCATACAGTCTTTAAAGGTCAAGTTTTTTGGCTTTTTGTACTGACCAGGGCTGGAAATATTCCCCCAAACAACTGATAAATTATTGTGGAATGGAAATTCAGTTTCCTAGCCAGCATTAAAGAACATCTTCCTCTCTCTCTGAAGTGCTGCATGATGCTAGTGATTGACCTCAGCTGAACAGATGGAGCTGCTGGAGGAATACTACAGAATAGTAGCAATCCTCCCTTGCCTTTGAGCATTTAAGCCCTGATGTGATGCAACCTGTCTTGAGTTTGGCTCAAACAGCTGCTATCAATTCAAGATTTACAGGGAGCCAAAGGAGGGCAGAAAAGAAAAAAAAACCAACCAACAAACCAGTGACAATAGGGCCACCACTGAACATGCCAGTATGAAAGCTGCTGAACTAAAACAGTCTACTATTCCAGTTCCTTACATTTTCTAGTTTATGGCAAAGGTCATTACTGAATCCATATACCATGTACAGTATTCTTTTCTCTAACTTTTACTATTACAGACATCCAACTCTTGATGAAAAGATGGATTGAACACAATCCCTTCAGCAGCAAGACTTGTTTTATTCTTAAAAGAAAGGAAAAAGAGTAAGAAAAGGGATAAGAAACCCACACTCCCTCTAACTTGCAAAGTCGTACCAGATCTTTATGACCTTCTTTTGCTTGTATGCTGTACCTACTTTCCCAATCCTTCACTTACTTTTGGCTTGGGACTATGAGTCCTCCGGCTAAGGGAGTGTCACTTTTCCGTTTTGTCCCCAGCACAATGAAAATAATTTCAGCTGGGACTTTGGATGTCATAATAAAAGAATTTATTACTTCTTCTATGACAACTAATAAGGGCAAAGCCATTGGAAAAGGGACATGTGAAATAATTGCCAGAACTTCTGAAAACTGAATAATTTGATGTTTTCACAATTTATTTCAATTTAGCAAAAGGTTCCATAGCCATGAGTTATTTCTCAGACATAATTAAGAACATTTTAAACAAGAAGAGGCCTCTTTTACCCCAAACAAGGCTGTTTTTGAGCAAAATCACCCCTCACAATGGTTGACACTCTGAATTTCAAAATTCAGCCATGACCACAACCAACATTTACATGAAAAACATAAGGAGTTTAGATTCTCATTTACACTGAGAATTCTTTACAATAATGTGGTAAAGGACATTTTTAGCTACTTAATATCCCTTTACAACCCAAGAGTGGTGTAAAGAGGCCTCATGGTAAATGAGACTCAAGCCAATGACTGCAAAACCACAATTTGGCGAATATGCTTGAAGTTTCTGAGCCAAGAAATGGTGCGAAATAAAACTGATGTTTGTTTTCCCCACAGCAATTAGATTAAAAAAATATGTACAAGTTTCATACAGCAGCAAACAGTTTTCCTCACTTCTGCTTGCCCTGAGTTGCTAGAAAGGGATGGAGCTACAGCTGAGAAGATTACTGACAGCTCTTCTAACTCCTTGGTCTGAATGATTTTTTCCCTGTAAAGCTCCTGTTCCTGAAACCCAAGGGATTAAAATGGAATTTTATTAAAATAGAGAAGAGGTGCTAGTTCAGCTTTCCAGTAAGAGGCATTGGTAACCTTCCTTCCCCACAAAGGAGTGAGTCACTCTTCAGACAACTCCAGAGAAGTGCACGAACAGAGTAAGATACCACAGTCCTGTATGCTTGGCCAGAGGCAGACTTTGATGGCCCATGAGGCTCCTTCCAGTCCCATGATGTTTGTCCCTTATAGGAAAAGTAAATTCCTAGGCATCAAAAGAGTGGGGAAAGCTGGAAAATTAAACTCTAAAGGGCCAAAGCTAAAAGCCAAAAATACAAAAATATGGTCTCTCCCTTCTTTAAGAAGTGAAATCTCAGTTCTCTGGCTACTGACCCACAATTGCTCCAGTATACTGCTGTCCATCTGACTGCTTCTAGGAGACCCTAACCAAGGCCAGTGTATGATTTATAACCCAGTTTGTTCTCAGGACTTTGCTGGGGACTCAAATAGAGCCACATCCTCACACGGGCGCTGTGCACCAGACAGGATTTGGCAGCACAAGCACAGCGTGTAGCATCAGCTGCTGAACTTCTGGAAGAAAGTCCTGGGTGAGGACATGAGGCGTTGCTGTAACCAAGCTTGCGATGCCGAGATGTTTATCAGCAGCAGCCACAGAGAATCGGGAACTCACAGCTAGAGGCTGTAGCTGCTGGAGTCATAAGTAGCTCTCTCTGTGGGCAGAGTTTGAAAGAAGAGAGGCAAAGTAGCCCATGCAAGCTGCTATAACGCACTTTAATATTATCAATAACAGGCTCCAGGCCTCTCTCCCACACTTAGGTGCAGTTCTTGCATCTTGCTAACAGCAAACTTCCTGGTAATCATCCCAGCCATAGAATTACCTAAGAATTTAATTCCCTTTGCAGAAAAAGTTTCCTTAGTTTGCTGAGCAATGGAAGGAAGGAAAAAAAAAAAAAAAAAGAAAAAAAAAGAGAGATAACTTGTTATTCTTTCTTTTCCAGGAGCAGAGAGGTTGGGGGAAGGGGAAGAAGAAGGTCAGTTTGACTTTGAACACATCAGGTGTGCTGTGGAGCCCGTCACAGCCATGCAAGGCAGAACAGAAAACAGTG